TGGCGGCGTGGAAGCTGCTCGAGTCCGAGGGCGCGGGGGCGGCGGTGCGCCACCGCCGGCCTATCGGCCGAGCGCCCGGGGGGGGAAGGATGCGATTTTCATACACGTCTGCGTACTTTCCCGCGCCCTTCCCTGGGCTCCAAGTCTGTGGACTGTTCAGCAGGGTGCTCTGACAGATTGAAGTGAATCTTTGCTTTTCCTACTCCCCGTTCTGGGTTAAGCTGATTTAAATCAGATGCGTACTAAGTATGTTTATTTCCTTTTAGAGTATGAGTCTGGTACTAAATCTTGATCCTGTGGAATGCTTTCTTAATTGCATCTGAGAAAAGGTGATCGATGGGTTACATTTATGAGAGTCCAATTATATTAAATAGGGTCGTTTCGTATGTATAAAAATAGAAAAAAAAAAATGAAGATTTAGGAATCCCTGTGAAATGGTTGCGCCGCATTTCAGCAGTACTGTGAAAATACCTGTGAAAATGTGGCTTTTCCTTTTTTTTGAGAAAGGGATGCTAACAGTTTTTTCCCCTGTTGCATTAACGATTGCTGTTCTTGCGCGGGCTTTCAGGAAGATTGCTTGTTAAATTTTTTAAAGGATATTTGAAATACCAAAAGTGTTTTAAACTCATATTTAGAATCTTGTTTATTTATGAAGACTACTGTGGATTTATTAATTGGATTATGTATATGGGATTTTGTCTCTTTTTTCCTTTGCTCTAAAATTCGGTTAAGGAGCCTCTGCTTTTTTTCTACCTCTTGATCTTTAGTCACATATTGGCTGATAATCAGGTGGTCAAGAAAAAAATAAAATGCGTTGAAACGTAAACTAGTTAATTTTCCTACGTAGTATCTCTTAGAAGCTCCTGTAAAAGGGTTTGTACGGGAGTAGTTTTAAAATAATGGTATATATGTGATTCTTCTTAAGTCTGGCCTTAACTTTTGCAGATAATGTTACTGATCAAATATTAGTCATTAATTCTATAATGTGTTGGCTGTAGTACACACTAACATTTAGAGATTGTTTCTGTAATGTATTTGCTATGTTATCAAATAATATTAGTGTCTTACTTCAACTGTGCAGTAAACTGTTAATATAAATGATGTAAACACATTATTTAATCATGATTTTATTTCTTATATAATTATTTACTTACTTGTTTTTAATGTAATAATAATGGACATAAAATAATTCTATTGAGCACCTGTAGTGTGCTGATTACTTTACTTTTTGATATTTCCTTTTCTCCTTACAATAGATTAGGTACCATTTTAATTTCCCAGGCAAGAAAAAACAAAGGCTTAGTAAAATCAAGTAGCTTGCCCAATTGTAAAATAGAAGACCAGGTTTATTAGATCTTTAAATCTATACAGGTTTCTGTCAGTAAAGTATAGGAGTTTCTACTGTGTGTATTTAGTGATATCTGTTTTGTCTGTATACCAGATCGTTGTTACATAAATTAATTCACATAATTAGGTATATTTATATAATTATTCTTTGCTTTTTAACATTTTTTCTCAGACTTTTCTGCCAGAATAACCCGAATGTGGATTCCAGAGAACTGGAGCATTAACTAATAATGCCTTAGCCAGCTCAGAATATGTTTTTCTTTTTTTCTTTTTTAGCAGTCTACAGCTTTATTCTTTAAAATGTATGTATGTTGTATGGTAATGTGGGAGTTAATATGTTCGTTTTAGACACACGCCCCATTTTTAAATAAAATTGGCAATTCAAGAATATATGTGCTGAGTTTATCCATGATTTTGAGTAGCTTTGACACGCAGTAATACACACCAGGTATTTATTCAAGAAAGATGGTACAAATGCTTGTGCTAACCCTCTCCATCGTAGAATAATTTTCAGTGGCAGATCCAAAGATATTTAAATTCGGTATCTGTGAGTGTGCTACCCATAGGCATGCTTTACTAATGTAATAGTTGTATGTTCTTTGGAAAGTCAATCCTGAGGTGGAATTTGGTTTCTTAAAAGCACATCACAATGTTTATTTATTTATTAAAATGCTTTTAAAAGTTTATTAATATAGCAAGTTAAATATTTACTGTCTTTCAAAATGTTTTTGTTTCAAATGTATAAATATTTAAATATGATTCAGTTTGCTTCACTTGATTTCAGGACCCGAAACTAATTCACATGTACTCAAGTCATTTGCTTAAGATTGGGATAAGAGAACACAGCTTTATTGGTATAAACCAGATGAAGAAATGGGCATACAATGGTGTAATCTTGCATGAAGAATATTTTATAATTTTTATTTGAAAGTTCCATATTATAAGTTAATTTTCTTTTAATAGGATTCTGATTGAGTCAGTGCTTTACAAAATTACTTCTCAATGCTCTCCTTAAAGCTGAGATATGCCCACTGGTAAGACTTTTATGAAATTTATGCATTAAATTTATATATTATACATTTATTTTTGTTTGGTTTATTTTAAGAATTTCTTTAACAGGTTAATAAATAAAGTAAATGTCATTGACCAAATGTTACATTTAGAGATATTTAATAGTTTGGTATTCAATTTTGTATTTAATGTTGGTGATTATGGTTAGTATGTATTCAGTGGACGGCAATTAGGGACTCAGTTAGACAAGGTAAATAATGATTATAACATATGGTTAGTTTTTATTCTTTATCATCAAAATTGTATGTTTTATTCTAAAGCAGGCATTGGCAAACTTTTTTCTTAAAGGGCCAGCTAGTAAATATTTTAGGTTTGGTCTTTGCTACAACTACTTAACTCTGTCATTAAAGCATGAAGACAGCTGTAACAATTTTTAACTAAATTAGCATATCTGGTTTTAATAAAACTTCATTTACAAAAACAGCTGACTGGCCTACAGGCCATAGTTTGCCATCACTTGCTCTGGGGCATTCATTCATTCAACATTTGTTCATTTAAAACATTTATTGAGTTCCTTCTCTGTGCAAACCTCATGACAGTAGTTAGGGATGTACTTGTGAACTACCTAAGTACAGTGAGAGAGACAGACAGTATATTTACTAATGTAGATATACAAATAATTATACAAATTCATTTGAATTATGAGCTATGAAGGAAAAGAACAGCCTGCTGTATGAGAAATGGGAAAATTTAGATTAGGTTGTCAGGAAATGTTCCATTCTAGAGGCAGCATTGAAACAGCTAACACCAGCCTGGTGAGGAGTTAAGAGGGAGCTTGCACCAGGTAGAAGCAGCTTCACATGGGAAGGAGCTTGTTCTGATGGAGGAGCTACAAGAAGAGCAGTATGGCTAGAATGGAGGGATCTTAGAAGGTATTTGTCTTGATTTGAAGCTCTAGAGATAGGTAGGTTAGAAGTGCAGAACCTTGTAGAGCATGTGAAGGATTGTTTTATTTTATCCTATGTAAAATGGGAAACCTGCAGGGTCTTAAGCAAGGAAATAACATCTGATTGATGTTTTAAAGGAAAAATCTTTCAACAGTTGTTGAACGCTGACGATAAGCTAGGCAAGTTGTAAGCCATTTTTCACACAAAATGATATTTGACATAGGATTACTGTGGTTTTACAGATAAGGAAAATGAAGTTTAAAGATGTTAAGTAATTTGTCTAAGTCCATATAACTAACAGTGGTCCTCGATAATGTGCAACAGAAGAAAGAAGTTAACTTAGCAAAGGAGACTTTTAGAGGGAGTGGCCAAAAAGGTAGGAGGAATATAGGTTAGTGTGGTATCAGCAAAGCTAAAAGAAAAAGTATCTTAAGAAATAGGGACTGGTCAGTTGTTCTAACATAGCTAGAAAATTCATGTAGATATTTACAAGACTGTATTCCTTAACATGATAGTAATGCAGGTGTGTGTTATAGTAGAGTTGTTTAGAAAATGATATGAGTCTTTATCTTTTGTAGTTGAGAGTGAAGCCAAAGTAAAAACCAAACTTCGCTTTGAAGAATTGCTTAAGACCCACAATGATCTAATATGTGAAAGAAAAAAACTGAAGAAAAAACTTGCCAAATCTAGAGAAAACAGCACAGTGAGTAATTGATCAGTTTGATCATTTGGTAATGGTGACTTATGTATCTACATAAAATTATGGCTTTCCGATTAAAATTCTAAGGAATTTTGGAAATTGAAAATGTAAATCTTATGTCATGGTCAATAACACATGGTAAAATAAAGTTTACATTAGAGTCAACATCAGTCTTGGAGTACTGAATTCAGTCTTGAGAGCTACCCTACAAGAACATAGACATACCAGTGTGAGTGACCAGGGATAATGGGGAAACTCAAAACTAGCCATATTGTATGTTTTTGAAGAAAATCAAGATTGTTAACCCAGAATTGTGGAGAACTTAGGATGTTATGTTTTACTTCAGATATTCAATTCAAAGTCTTTATTTAGACTTATTCTGTGGGATTCTATTCAGCAGAATCAGGAGAAATCAATGGCCTTAAGGCAGTTATAATCTTTTTATCCTTGAGGCACACCATCAAATGATAGAAGTTTCATCAGCACACTTAAAGGGATGAAGAATACGGAACTCAAATCAATACTAAACAAATCAGCAGCTAAGTACAACCTGATTCCCATGATATTATAGATCTGTCATAGTATTTACAGTTAAAACGCTATTCACTCTTCATATCTATCTCTCTACCTCAGTTGCATTTTTTACTCCTTTGACCATAATGTCTTGTGTCCTCACACAAAAAAATAAGTAAATAAATAAGTTCTTGGGTGTCCCGGTAAATGGTACATAATATTTCTTTGACAGGAGTTTTATGATGAGTTATACATCGTATTTTGCTTGTAGCAAGTTTTACCCCATTCTGTATTTTGTCATGAGACCTGTTCATTTTAGTATTCTATCTGGCAGCCATGTACGTAACAGTGTATATTCTCAAGTGAGGCAAAAGTAAGTACTAACAGTGGCCAGGATTCAGCTGCACACATGCGAGGGTTCATAGTATACCGGTACACTACTGCACACGAATTTAGAACTATTGACAGTGTGGGACAGATTAGATCTTCCATAGTGAACGCTGCTCTAAAATAGCGTGTGTTGCTTCTGATTGATACCAGTACACAGTATCGTAAAGCATAGTGGCATATGGAGGATGGAACATTACATATTGGTATACCCTCTCCCCTGAGATGGAGTGGTTTACGTTGGGCAAAAGCAGAAAGAACCCTGGAAACAGTTGTCTGCAGAGCATTTTTATAGATTCACTTTGTCAAAGAAGAGACTTATATTTTTTTCACTGTTAGAGAATGGAGCTTTTGAGTTATGATCAAGATGCAGTTTAGGCTGGGAATTCTAAATTAGATAGCCAGGAAATGGGCAGAGGGTTCATTTGCCTAAGGTCCGGTTGAGATGTTGGGGGCACCCAAGTGTGAGGTGACTAAGCATAGTTTACTCAGCCTTACTTAGCAACTACCAATCCTGCATGGGCTTCTTTTCATTTAAAAATAAGTAGACTAGGAAAAAATATCTAGGAAGATATTTTCCAACTCAGAAGAAGGAACATTGCTGGAGGACTTAGAGGAAAACAAAATATTTTTGCAATTGATTAACTTTTGATTAACTTTTAGAAATAAAAGAGGACTACCTGCTTTCATTTACTAGATACCTGAGTGCTTTCTGCCTTTCAGACATTCTTCTAAACACTATTTATTAATATAAACAACAAAATTATGATGTTTTATCTCTGTAGATGAGGAAACTGAATCACACAGGTTGAGTAACTTGTCCAAAGTTACATAGTGATTGAACAAGAATTCAAATACTGACTGTCTGCAGAATCTAATCCCTTAACTGCAACCCAGTATTACCTTTTTTAATGAAATTTGAAGACATAGGACCTCTTCGAAACAAGAAAAGGGAGTCCTTTGTACAGAACAGGCTGAGAATAGAAAGGAAGCAGTCTGAAATAAAATTAAACAAGGTAAAAAACCACAATAAGAGAATATATAATAATGGCAGTTTCATCTTATTATGTTCCAATTATATGGTACTGTGATAATAAAAGTTTTACAGATATTATTTCTAATTCTCATGTTAATCATGCAGGGTAGGTATTAGGACTCTTACGTTGCACGTGAAAAATTTATAAACAAAGATGTTAATTGATTTGCCAGGTCAGATAGTCAGAAATAAGATAAGGAGGATTTAAGACCATAGTCTCCCCAATCTTAAAGTCCATGTACTTTCTGTGGTTGCTTCCTTAAAGCTATATCTCAGGCCTAAAATAGTAGAATTGACACCATAAACAAATCTGATCAGTGATGTGGGAAACAAAATTGAGGCACTCTTCCATGAGAAGAAATGGCCAAAACTAAAATGAAAGAAATAATAAGTAATAACATATGGAGATATTTGACCTATAAATAAGTGTTCCCAGACAGTATTGATGTAGCAGAAGCAATAAAAAGGGCATGAAGAAAGATCTATGAAAAGATGAGTCCATCTTGCATTCCAGGTAAACTTTATGAGATGAGAAATATATTTAGAAACATTTTTTTGTTTTTATTTCAAGAGAAAAATAAATTTTATAAACATCTAAATTGAAAAACATCTAGTACATTTCAGACTTTTTCTAAAAACACTAAATCCAAAAGACAATGGAGAAATATCTATAGAATATTGAGGGGAAAATTGTTGCCCAAGGAATCTAGTCACCTAAGTTGTCAGACATTTGTGATGACAATAGTACACATGTGAATTAGCAGGGAACTATTACCAGTGTTACCTCTCTGGGAAAAAAAAACAAAAATCTATTGAACATGTAGACATGAGTCAAAGTTAAGAATTTAAGAATAGAAAATTTATGATTTGAAAATATTGTTGCATGAGCTGTGAAATCAGAACTTTGTCAATTATTATATATGCCAAAATAATTCCTGAAGATTTAAATGAGATATGTGTATATGATAATGTGAGATAATAGAATCGGATTATTTTCAAAGACTGAGCAAAGCTTCCTAGCTGACAAAGGAAGAAAAAGTCATATAACTACAGTCATGTACAGATTTCTGTCAATGATGGACCGCATATAAAACAGTGATACCATAAGTTTATAATGGAGCTAAAAAATTTCTATCCCCTAGTGATGTGGCCATCATAAAGTCATAGGTTGTTTCATTACTCATGTGTTTATGGTGATGCTGGTGTAAACAAACTTACTATGTTGCCAAGTAGAGCACACACAATTACGTACAGTACATAATTCTTAATAATAAGCAACTATGTGGTTTATATATTTACTATATAGAATTTTTTATCATTTTAGAGTATTCCTGCTTATTGGGGAAAAAAATTTAATTATAAAGCAGTTTCAGGCAGGGCCTTCAGGAGTTATTCCAGAAGAAGGCATTGCTATAGGAGGTGACAGCTCCATGTGTGTTATTGCCCCTGAAAACCTTCCAGTGGGACAAGATGTGGAGGTGGAAGCCAGTGATATTGACGATCCTGACCCTGTGTAGGCCCTAGGCTAATGTGTGTATTTGTGTCTTAGTTTTTAACAAAAAATAACTTTTTAAGAAAAAAAAATTAATTTTAAAAATAGAAAAAAGCTTATAGAATAAGGATAAAAAGAAAAAATATTTTTGTGTAGCTGTAGGTATGTTTGTGTTTTAAGCTAAGTGTTATTACAAAAGAGTCAAAAAGTTAAAAAAAAAAAAAGCTTGTAAAGTAAAAAAGTTACTGTAAGCTATGGTTAATTTATTACTGAAGAAAGAAAAATGTTTTTTAAATACATTTCATGTAGCCTAAGCATACAGCATTTATAAAGTCTACAGTAATATACAGTAATCTAGGCCTTCACATTCACTCACTGACTCACCCAGAGCAACTTCTAGTCCTGTAAGCTCCACTCATGGTAAGTGCCCTATACAGGTATACCAGTTTTGATCTTTTACTGTATCTTTTCTATGTTTAGACGCACAAATATTTACCATCATGTTACAGTTGCCTACAATATTAAGCACAGTAGCATCAGTATTCAGTACAGTAACATGCTGTACATGTTTATAGTTCAGGAGCTTCCTCAGAGCATATCCCCGTTGTTAAGTGATGCATGACTATATTAGTCTTACCTGGAATGTAGTCAAAAGTTATTATTTCATCCTAGAGTTTGAAATAAGATAAGTGCTATATAATATATAAAATAGGTTATTACACTTTCTAAGTCATCAAAGGTCAGGAAAAATCAACCAAGGTTTTTTTAAAAGAAAGAAAAGTTATGAAACAAGAAATTTAAATAAGAGCAAACTTTTATGGCAATAAATGTAAATGGGTTAAGTGTCCTGTTTTAAAAAGAAGATTCTAAAATACATTTTTAAAAAAATCAGGTATTCTACCTGCAAGATTCTCACATCAAACAAAATAACAAAGTTTAAAAACAAAAGTATGCAAAAATATAGATGAAGACAGTTTTAAACAGAAACTTAGAGCTTTCTCATATGGATGTATATTGAAAGAACAAAACACCCTAAATAAAAGATGAACAAATTGAAATTTGTCATATGTTGAAAGACTGATCCATACCAGCCAAATAGTTTTCGACCCAAGAACTCAAAAATGGTTTAATACTTAGATATAAGTTAATATTAATAAGTTAGTACAATAAATTGAATAAAAATCATAAGGGAAAACCATTTGCTGAAGAGGCAGTCCCTTCCCCAGTGAATAGGCTTGGTGCCTTTGTCAAAGATCAGATGGCAGTAAGTGTGTGG